TGAGTCATTTAACAGCCCCTTTTCTCCTTTTTTTTTATCGTTTGAGTTCAAAGTCGCATAAGTTATATATATATATATATATATGTATATATATATATATATATATATATATATATATATATATATATATATATATATATATATATATATATATATATATATACATATATATACATATACGTGGACGTCAGTGTGTCATGAATTTATCTATAAATTTGCTGACTTAGGGCTGAGTGTAGGAAATCAGCAAACACAATAATGAAATATCCCGATTCAACTTGGCACTGTAGTTCCAAATGAATATGCAAGTGAATTTATTATACAAAGTTTACAAACACACTTTTAAAGACATTAAAAGACATCTCCATTATGACCGAAACAGATATTAAATATGATAAATTCAAATATTTCTTCATTTTTATAGCAAATATTATTTTTAACTAAACCATGAATGAAAAATTGATAGAGTTAAGTGCAAAAGTATATTGGTTCTACCGATTCATTACATATAGTAACTAAAATTGTTGACCAATGTTAGGCAAGAATATAAATAATGAACGGATAATTTGTTTTTCAAACTACTGAACATATGGAAATGCCTACTTTTGATAGTAAACTTCTTAAGTAACCTTATCGTGTACTATGTACATTTTAAGTAATTTAATATCTTGTGCTGTTTCGATATTTGTTCGGTGTTATTTTTCATAACATCTTGATGATATTAGAACAAAAACGTTACAGCAACGATCTGACAACAATAATAAATAAAGTTATTTTATTTTATTTATATAACATATATGTATATATATCACATACATTGTACAATACGTAAACACTATGCATATTGGTGGGGTATAGCTATGGCAATCGCAGGAAGAGATACCTGTGTGGGTGCCGGAGGCATGTTTACACCAGCAGCATCCTCGATATTACTATCTCACCCATGGTCCCATAATAGGGTCGGGTCGACTCACCCAACCATAACAGCAGGGTCACGCATATGCCTTTTTATACAGCCCTCACCCTAAGGAAAAATATGTAGCTCTATTTTTTTCCCTTTCTACCGCTACTAGGTAAGCAAAGTATTGTAATAAGTTTAAACTTGCGATGTGCGGTTTTCAACAGATTTTTACGTTTCAAACACCTCTAACGGCATAAATTACATTTTCAGCCATTGGTCTGTCTTTTTTTCTGCCTATCCCTACCTAGATTATCCTGCTAGCAAATGAGCAAATTTTTTTTACTTCTTTTTTTGTCATGTACGGTTTTGGCTACCGGTGCTTCTGAAGAAAAGTGGGCGCTCCCTACGCAGTAAGAGAACTGTTACCGCAAAAATATCTCGATTTTGAAGAAACTTTCTCACAATCTTTAAGTTAAAGTCTTTTCAACTTTCCTACACTTGTGTAGTGAATTGACGAGAAAATTCAGAAGTTATATACCAAAATCTGGTGTGTAACCACACAACCACTACACAACTTTCATTTACCGTTCTACTTTGAATAGAAATTATTTTCTGGCAATGTTGGATTATTAAAAATATTTGAATTTCATTTTAAATGGAGCTAAAGCTCAAATCCTACTGATAACAAGTCATTAAGTCCATTAAAATTGCAAAAAGTTAATTTATTATATCGACGGTTGGTAATAAAAATCTAGTTATTCCATCTGCTTTTAAAAACCACACAACTTCAGGCTCTGTGCCTTTCAGTTGACAGAATGATTAACTCCAATTTTATAATTTTTGAGTAATATCGTTTAATTTATATTTCTAGTTGGAAAAGTTATATCTATACAGACAGTAAGTTGATTCCAGAGTGGATGATTGCTGTGTTGAAATATAGAACTCTGAATCAATAATGTTGAAATTGGAGTTATTCATTCTGTCAGCTAAAAGACTCATATATGCCTAGAACATCGTTAGGGTTGTTTTTGAGAAAAGTGTAAAAATATGTTTCACCGTTGATATAAAGTGGCACTTCCGGTTAGGCGATTTTAAGGAAAAAGTTACGGTCACATCTAAGGTATATACCTATTTTCACCTCTTTATCTTTATGTTATGAGATATTGGTTGACTAATTTCTGTGAACAACTTCGATCATTATTGATCCTTCTCCTCCATCTATCAGAACTCTGATGCCAGATGGGGACTGAGCAGAGACACTATAACCAGACGTACTTGACTTGAGTGAAGAATCTGGTCATTGCCAGAACTCTAATATATTCTTACAACAGGTCTCAGGGCCATTGCCGCTTCAACCTTCGAGGAGGATTGTAGAAATGAGGAAAGCGAGAGAGGGATTGTGAAATTGGAATTGGATTATGTGTGAGGTTTAGATGGAATTCGGAAAAGTTTTGAGGGATGATGTCTAGGACAAGTGGGATATGAAGGTTATGGTGAAGGGTTTGGTTGGTTACATAGAACGGATCATCAACTATTATTTGAAGGACTTTGGACTGAAAGGATTGAATGCGTTTGATGTTAGTAAATTTTGCTGTCTCCCACAGTAACCAGTCTTAGGTTCAATCAATTTCCAAATTATCATTACTTAAATAATTAAATATCAATTAATTATAGCTCTATATTAATAAATTTTGCCTAAAAACCTCTGGAGGCCGCAACTACATCACAGAGCCTACATACGGCCTCCGAGGCTGCGGTTCACCACCTATGTTGTCGTAATAGGATAATAGCGCCGACGCCAGTTCACTCGCTGCACCGCCACTGCCTTCTAGTTCCTTACTCCCCCATGGATCCTAATGGAACACATAGACTCTGCAATTCCATCGGCCCACCGCAGTTTGGGCTTGTTGATTTTTCTCTTGCCATACAGTTTTTCTTCCAAAAGTATATTTTCGATCTCATCGTTCTTTATTCGATCGGTATGGTCTACCCAGGGCAGCATTTCAATCCTTTTGAATCTGTCAAGCATTATCACAGAAAACTGGATCAAATATTCTTGTAAGAATTTGCCTCTCGAATCTTAAGAGAAATAGTTCTATGGAGAACTATTGAGAACCGGAGGTGAAAAAAATGTCTTATGAGGGTATTATAAAGTTGAGCTTTGAAGTTACCCTTGGAAGAGACATCTCCTTCTGAAATGTTTTACTCATTGCATTAAAATGTTCCACACACTCAATGTGAAGTCTCCGATTTGTATGTGGGCGTCATACTGATCCAACCCTTGTGGACTGGGCCAAACCTCATGTGTTTATTTTTAGCCTCATTCACAGTCACAGTGACCCGTGAGAACCCTATTGATTGTTAGAAAAATATTTTTATGCAGGCCTAGCAAGTACGTGGTACCAAAACAAGAAGGATTATTAATTAACTGTGCCCAACACATTCCCTCCAATCTTTGTCTGTTCTTGTTTTATTAAAATAAATACTACAAAGAAAACGAAATGAAAAAAAAAATAAAAAACGTATATCTTCGATGAGATAGAGAATGGATTCCAATACATCATCTCTGCATTTTTCCTAGTTTTTTTTTAAGTTTTTCTGGTTTGTTTATTAAACAATAAATGTATTTAGTGGAATGTTGTTAGTTTTGCACTGAAACTAAGCCTTGAGAGCTGTTGATATGTTCGATAAATCCACTTAATTCCGACATAGAGATTAAGCAATGCGTCAATAATAGAGGATTGACAATATGAACAATAGCTATTTGCTCTTAGTCGCCTTATTAAATAAACTTTGAGCATTAACCAATACAGTTAAATTGGTTACAAGAAAAAAATAGTTTGAGGAACTATAATTGAGAGTAAATACGATTAAAATAATAAATCAATAACTAAGCTTGATTGTTAATTTTTTAGGTACGGTGCGCCATTCGCGGCCTTTCTTTGGATCTAAAACTCAGATTGTTTTGAGAATAGGTAAAATGCCTAACAAAACTCGAGGATAGATCTCGAAACTCATTATCATCCGCCCTTTCCTTTCAAGATGGCGGCCGAAAAACCTGTGTCGCTATAGTCTGTTGCGCCTAAACTAATGTTCTGATTCAGTTTGAGGAAGAATAACACGCAGCGCCAAATGTTTTAGTTTAGGATATCTGGCATTCAGTAATTTCACATCCAGCTTCTGTTTATACTCCTTTTCATATGGTCGTCAATTTGCTGTTAATCTGTACTTGTCATTTGTCAATAAATAGTTTCAATAAAGGCTTTATGTTGATGAAGAAATTTTAACAAAAAAAATAACAATAATTTTAGAGAATCCTTACTGAAATTACAAAATCACTTATTGAATCTGCAAAACTGGTACTTACTTTGGAAAATAAGACTAAATCATGACAAATCACATTACATAAACTTTACACTTCGACGAGACACCTTCCCATCAGTTTATATTTGCGAATACTAAATTCTTAGAAGGACACAATACGCTATCTTGGACTAATATTCGACAGAAAACTAACCTGGGGCCCACACGTCAAAATGAAACGAAAGACATTAGACATGCGACTGAAAATACTATACTCTCTTTTTTCCATACCAAAACTTCAAATCAGACAAAAATTAATACATACACATACCCATGTAAGCCCATTAAGACATACGCCTCACAGATATACAGTTCAGCAAAAATGTACTTACATGCACAAACAAAAACTACAATTTTTCCAGCCCAATATTTTACGACTAATAACAGCAGCTCCCTGGTACGTAAACAACAGAACCTTACATAAAGATTTACGGCAACCAATTATCGGCCAACACATACGTACTCTTAACTCACGATTTCATGTTAAATTATAAAGACACAACAACAAACTCATAACCGACATCGTTAACATAATAGTCAACTAACCAAGTCCAGCTAGAGTGGGAATAACATACCAACCTAAAATATTTAAGTAGTTTTAACAAAAATATTCATCTAGAACACAAGCATGTAAATATAAGCGTTTGTGGGCATTTGGTTTACCAAAAGATTGCTTTTACGTAGTTTTGGGAATCATATATACCCAACTTAAAAGCATTAACTAGTAACTAACAAATTAAAAATCAAATAAAATATAATTAACATTTGAAATAAATGGATTTCATAAATGTTGAAATTTAACAGAGAAAAAACATTATTCCTCTTCATCTTGATACTGAACTTCTGATAGGTCCTCAGGCACTGCGAAACCTTCCTCGGTTGCATACAATATATCTAATATCTTATGAATCAGCTCGTCATTACCTTGATATTCTTGACACACTACTTCTATGTCTCTAAGCTTAACAAAATAGAAATTCCGCTCTTTTTGAAGACCATCGGCTATCATTTTTGCATTGGAAAGCTGCTGGCTTAAGTCATCGATTATTTTCTGAACATCACTTGGATATCGAGTAGCGTCGGGTACAGCAGAGGGTCCCTTGTTGTGGTTTCCTGATGCCAAATGGTTCCGAACAATTCCTTTACTGATAGTTCTAACGGTCGATGATTCAGTTTGTCTTAACGGATCAACCTTTACAGCAGGTACTGAAAGGCTTTTAGCTGGAGGGACATCCAAACGAGGTTTCATATTGCTTCCTGAACCATTTCCTAGCTTTTCCCCCCCTCTAGCAGCCAGGGCCGAGTATTCTTGGTCGGTATAATTTGCATTGAAAAACTTTTTAAACCATTGTAGGAATTCAAAATTATCTTGAAACCTCCCTTTGATTAGCTTATCAACCGGCACTATCTTGTCGACACCAACTTTTATAAATGCAGCCTGTAACAGCTTGAAATTATAAATATATTCGTGCTCCAGATTTGCCCTAAACTTAATCCTCTTGAACTGCAATGAGCCAGGGAAGAGCATGTCCATGAACTGGCAATAAGCTGCGCCGGTACACAACTCTTCTATTTTTCCTAAATTAGCCTGCAAACAAACATTGACCCAATTGAGCATTTCATGCCTGCTCAAATTTTCCGTGGTTACATTTGTTGAATAAACATTAACTGCCATAATTTAGAAAGATATATCCAATTTTCAAACGAAAGCTAGAACCTCTTCTACTGTGTGGAGTCTTCTGAAATACACTTCTGAAAACGCATACTGACACTTGTAAATAGTTACTGCAGTTCAATCATTTAGAATAAATGAAATAAATTGATGACCATACATATGTTTTAATAAAAAAAATTGTTATCGCGTTTCAAACTCCTTCCGATATAAAATATATGTAAATAATCCGAAAGTTTTAAAAAAGACGGCGAGATAGATACCTTTTATACGGGTTATAAACTTCAGTTCTCAGCAGTTTAATAGTCTTGGAACGTTGTAATAAATTATATCTCGATTCCAGATTATAACCCACTACGTTAGGTTAACTTTCGTGATACTTGACACACATCAAACGAGGATTTTTAATATAGATACTTTTCCAATAACTTGATGGTTACGATGTAGATCTTAACCTTTTGAAGTCATTATTGACCTGCTTCAAAAAGGAGGAGGCTATTAGTTAGACATGTGTATAATATATATGTTTTACAATCTGCAAAACTTTTGCCACAACTTTGATTGCAAGTTTTTACAAATTTTTGAATTGTTCTTCTATTGGTTTGCTTAATTTTAATTTAAAAAAAGGAGAAGATGACAAGTTTACAAAATTTTTAAAGACTAATAAAAACCAATCTTAATTATAAAACCAGCTGTTTCATGTTTGATTAATTACACGAGCGACATAACGTTTAGGCCCTCCGTTCACGAGGCGATATAAAAACGAGGAGAAATGTGCGTCAAAATTCACTTGCTTCGCCAATACAAAGAGTCGAGATACACTCGAACTGTGCGTCTTATGCGATTTCAGCTACAATATATGTATATATTAATGCTCTTTAATCTCGGGAATGAAGACTTTGTTTTTCACTGTTAAATCCATTTTTAGGTAGACGAAAATAGTGTAGAAAATTTTCCAAATTTTCATTCGCTTTTATCTTTCGAATGGATGCTAAGATTCTCAATTCCAACATTTTCCTGTTTTTTAGTGGTAGGCCAATGGCTACAGTAGTGGTACAAATTTTCTTAATTTTCTTTCGCTTTTCCTCTTTTATTACGTGAAACCGAGCGTCCAGGTTTTTCATCGTCCCAACAATTTTCCAACTGTTTAGAGTTTGGCGAAATTGGAGAACGATTGCAAAACTTTTCCGAATTATCATTCGCCTTTCCTCTTTTATCTGGGAAATGAAGGAACGGTTTTCCAGTGTACCAACCATTTTCGACCAATGTAAAAAAAAACTTGGCGAAAATAAATAAATAGTGTAGAGAATTTTCCGAATTTTCAATCGCTTTTCCTCTTTCATCTCGTAAATATATGCTAGGATTTTCACAGTTCCGACTATTTCCGAAATGTTTAGCTATAGACCAATGGAAACAGTAGTTGTACAAATTTACCGAATTTTCTTTCGCTTTTCCTCTTTTAACTTGAGAATAGATGCTAGAATTGTCATTGTTTCTACCACATCCGAGCTGTTATAGGTAGGCCAATGGGAACTGTAGTTGTAAAAATTTTTCGAATTTTTATTAGCTTCTCCCCTTTTATCTGGGGAATGAAGAAACGATTTTCCAGTGTTCCAACCATTTTCCGCGAATGGCTTACCTCTTAACATTACGAAAATGAAACAGTGAAAATCCGAGCGCTCATTTAGGAGATAAAAGTTGAAATGCGAATGAAAATTTGGAAAATTTTCTACAGCATTTCCCTATTTTTGTCTAAATCTACATTGCCGAAAATGTTTTGAAAAATTGAAAATTCGAGTACTCATTTTAGAAATACAAGAGAAAAAGCGAATGAAAATGCGCAAAGTTTTTACCAATACTAATTCTATCTGCTTACCTCTTAACATTAGGAAAATGTTTGGAACAGTGAAAATCTCGTACACTCATTCAGAAGATAAATGAGAAAAAGCGAATGAAAATTCAGATAATTTTCACCAATACTGTTTTCATTGGCCTATCTTTAAAAATTAGGAAAATATAACATTGAAAATCCATGCCCTCTTTCGAACATAAATAAGGAAAAGCGAACGAAAATTCGGAAATTTGTTTACACCATAAAGAATTCATAAATAAAATGTCACTTATCATACTATAGAAATAATCAAAGAAAAAGAAACAGGAATCAGTTTTTATTATTAATAATACGGCCATTATTTGTTTATAAAGTAATTCATGCGTCAAGCTAGAATTTTCTCGCTCAACAGTTCACTGCTATCTCGCTTGGATTTCTACTCTCTCTCGCTTCGATTACAGCTCGCCATATTGGGGAACTATATAGGAATTGACTGGGAAGTAGTGTTGTTGAGGCACCACGCCTAAAAAATCGAAAAATTATCTACACCATCTTTCCATTTTCGCCTACCTATACATTGCCGAAAAATTGTTGGAGAACTGAAACCGACCCTTCGTTCCCGAGTTCAAAAAGGAACAGGAAATAAAATTCATAAAAATTTTCACTTTTTACACATTTTCACCAAAACAAAATAGCCTGAAAATTGTTGTAATGATGAAATACCGACATTCATTCATGTAATAAAAGAGGGAAAGCTAAAGAAAATTTGGAAAGTTTATACCACTACTGTCTCCATTCTAAACAATTCGTAAAATGGTTGGAATAGTGAAAATCCATTCATGAGAGAAAAGAGGAAAAACGAATGAAAATTCGGAAACCTTTCTACACCATTTCCCCATTTTTGCCCATCTCCAAACTGCCGAAATTTTTTTTGGAAAAGTGCAAAAACCGAAAGTAAATTCATAAAATGTATGCGCTTGTTTCATTAATTTTCACCTAACTCTAAAAAGCTGAAAAATATATGAGACGATGAAATACCGAGCATCTATTCACCAAATAACAAAGGAATAGCGAATCTAAATTCAGAAAATGTGTATTACTACAATTTCCGTTGGTCTACATCTAAACAGTTGGAAATGGTTAGAACAGTGAAAATCCTAGCGTCCATTCACGTATGAAAGAGGAAACGTGAAAGAAAATTCGAAAAATTTGTATCACTACTGTTTTCATTGGCCTACCTCTAAACAGCTGGGAAATTATTAGAACAGTGAAAATCTGAGCATTCTTTCTCGAAATAAAAGAGGAATAGTGAATGAAAATTCTCTACATTATTTCTGCCTACTTTTACATTACCGAAAAAGGATTGGAACACTAGAAAACCAATCCTTCATTTCCGGGATGAAAGAGGAAAAGCGAATGAAAATTTCGAAAAGGTTTGCACTCGTTCCCCATTATCGCCAAACTCTAAACAGTTGGAAAATTATTGGGACGATGAATAACCGACCGTCCATTCCTTTAAAAAAGAGGAATAGCGAATGAAAATTAGGAATATTTGTACCACTACAGTTTCCATCGGCCTACCTCTTAACAGTTGGGAAATGATTAGAACAGTGGAAATCCGAGCTACCATTTCCGAAATAAAAGAGGAAAAGCGAAGACAATTCGGAAAATTCTCTACACCATCTTCGCCTACTTTTTCGTTGGTTGAAAATGGTTGGACCACTAGAAAATCGATGATAAAAATCCTATCAGCTATTCACACGATAAAAGAGGAAAAGCCAATGAAAATTTGAAAAATTATCTACACTATTTTCTTATTTTCGTCTACTTCTACATTGCCGAAAAATTGTTTTAACAGTGAAAAACAATTATATATATATATTGTAGCTAAAATCGCGCGCGCTAAAAGACATAAAGTTCGAGTGCGCCTCTCGATTTTTCTCGCCTTGAACTTTCTCGCCTCGTTGGGGAGGCACTTGACGCACATGACGATTAGGTTAAGCTTTACACACAGTTCTCCTCGATTTTTCTCCCCTCGTGAGCGGAGGGCCTTAATGTTATGTAAATCTTTTTTCGGACTTGTTTGTTAAGTAACACTAACAACAATGTTCATGTCATTTTATCGGTAAAATGGTTCAGGTCAGTGTTACGAATTTGGTAATACTGTAAAAATGTCACTCTACTTTGCCGAATAGGACAAGATCTCGTTATAAATATATATTCAAGAATATCTCAAAGATTTACGTCTTCACAATATAGCCCAATCTTCGGCAAACTTCTTACCGGTGCTTTTCAGTTAAAGTCGGGACATTCATCAGCTTTAATTAAATTTCTGTTTTAGACTTCTGCTAGCTATGCTTGCTCAAAAGGAGTAAACAAACTGTGCCTTTCCAACTGCGTTCTGAGACTTACCAGACGGTTAGGTAACTTTCGTACATATTCTGCCAATCTCCCGATTCCATTTATGGTGAGTAATGTAATATTGTGGCATCCATACTAATGGTGTGACATTTCTACAGAATTATCCGAATTACTTATCACGCAGGCGAAGAATATTGCTATTTTAATCAGTTGGTGAGTGAATAACGATTCAGCAACCGATCTTTTTTCTCTTATTACTCATATTTTCTAACCTTGAGAATCCTTATATAAATCTTTAATTTAATCACCTATCCTTAATGCTCCTCTCACAGCGTTAATTTTTTACCATAATTCCGATGGTATAATTCGAAGGGCTAGAGAAAAATTGCGAACTTTAAACAACTCAAACATCAAGTAATTGTGAATGAGAAAGACAGTTTCGTTGCATAAATCTATCTTCTTAGATATTTGCTATAAGAGAATAATTGTGAAGTGATTTTTTATTCCTGATTTAAACGAAAGTCTTACAATAATTGTTTAATATCCCTGTATATGAATCCTTCTTTAGCCAGTTCAGATTATATCTTCACATTGTTGGACATCAATTCCTTACATACAATATATAATGTGAATTATAAACATTTTGTTGATATGCACAATTTATAATTGTCAGGTCCTGTAAATAGAGAGACAAATCCTTACTCCTTACTATACAATTATTCACAGGAAACAATATGTTCCAAGATAAAAATTAATTTTCATTTGAACTATCCACTTGGAAGCAGAAAGATAAAATGGAGCATCTTTCTTGACTAAAGCTCTGGGGGCTACTTGATATAAATAACACGGAGAACTAAATGAAGGAAGAGTGGGTGGTGGATGTAGTGCTCTAATTCACAGCGTCTCTTATTTGCTCCTTCTCTATCAATTGTCATTAAGAAATACTTGAGCACTATGAAAGTTTTATATGTATATATATTATTTTTTTTATTTATATTTTTGTTTAATTATGACTATTAGTCAAGAAATAGACAGTAATGCCTATATATTGTAAAATAAAATAATTTACTAACAATTCCAACAAAAAAACTAGTAAAATAAAAAGGGGTCAATCCATTTGAAATCATCCAGACCATGTTGTTCCACATTTTTGATATTTATAATTTATTTAAATAGTTATTTCATATTTATATGAGAGTTCAAAGCCATAGTTAAAAAAAAAATTAAAGCTCAAAGTTTATTTCTCGTAGGTCATTTTTAATTTTTTTTCGACTGAAAATATGTCTTGGGGAAAGGCCTGTAACTCTGGTTATTTTGTATATATCAAGCCAAAATAAACATTGAAATAATTTAGATTATTTTTTATACATTTGTGATGATCAATACATAAAAAGAAAGGAAAGTGGTTTAAAAAAAATCATGATGTCATAAAAAAAGTGACTTTTAGGGCTGGAAAACTGTAATAAAGAAAAGAGTCTCAACTTTAATCTTTTCTTCAT